CGGTTCAAACCCATGTGAAGTTGTGATACTGCCGAAGAAATTATGTGCCGGGTAATTTGATATCACAATCATTAACAAAGAAGTGTGATTCACATAACAATTTTTCAAGTTCTTCTGATATGATAACCATCTGGATTCGTCGAAAAGAATTCACAAGTCATGGAAATTAAGCAATGTGTACGGACGAATAATTTAGTTGTGTTGTGTTGTAAAGCATCTCGCGAGTTAGAATTCAACACAAGGGTATTTACAAGTCCCGGGTTGTTGTTACTCGTACCTCTAGGGCATCCATCTTTTCCGACAGTTTTGCACCGTCTTCTGAACCAAACTCTCCTAGCCCATCTTCGTAATCGGTTAGTAATGCCCGTAATGCCTTGGTTACCTGAACAACCGAGCTAGTCTGTACGAAAGAAAAAAAAAGTATTCCTGTGTGAAATGCTGATGATGGGAACATTGCATCCAGAGAACAAGATCTCTGGTTTTTATTACCTTTGTTAGGTAAACAGGTATGCCGTGAGTTGTAGCCACTGATTTAATCCGAGGATTCTTCTTGAGCTTGGATTGCAAGGCGAGTAAGGCATCTGCTTCACTAATGTCGTCAGTTAACTCCACCACAGTTTCCACCTCTAATTGTTTAATTCCATGCACAACACTCGACTCTGCAACCTATGTGCAGAAATATGGAGGATTTCGTGAGATTTGAAACAAAAAGAAATGATCACTTTAATTATGGTTCACCAGAGAGAAACAAAAAGAAATCAGCATATTCATTTTCTCTCACCCCATAGACGTACAGATAGAGTGGCATTTCGTCTTTGATAACTTCAGCTTCGGTTATCTCCTCAGATGAGAGGAACTCGGATTTGGTTGCTTCTGAGATCAGCTCAGGAATATCTCTAGTAACCATTTCATGTTTCTTGTTCAGTGTCATGTCAATGGCAGGTTCCTTCTCCACAATGACTTCCTCTCCTTGGGAATTTATCTTACGGATTTCGACGTTCGGCGAACGGCCTTAACATCAAGGAGCCAAGAGAAGAAGAGACATTGAAGTACAATAGTTTGTATCTGAATCTTACTACTATATCCGGAAATATTGTGACGGATTATTTTCTGTTTTTTTACGGTACGATCTTTGTTTATTTCGATTGCTCTAACTCGTATAGGACAGAGCGTACCTGCGAGAACAGTATCAACAGTGGCTTCAAGACTACGATGAACTCGAATCTCAGCCTTTGAAATTATTTCTACGCCACAACTAAATGTTGGAGGGCCTTTCCTTTCAAGGACCGTCTTCTGGCCACCTCTTCGGGTTGCTTCCTCATCTCCAAGAGTCACATTCTGCCAAATGTGTTAATGTCTGTGAAAGAAACCTATTTGAGAATACAAAGCTATAAGACTAGTAAATGGAAACAAGATCTCGAGATAAGAAAATAACATTTTATAACTGAAAAATTTAGTCATATCGCAGTTAAATAAGCATTGTAATCGAGATCATAATTTGCGAGCATCATGAACTACTAGAACATGAAATTAGTTGTCACTGCGGCATGCACTTCTGGGTACGAGTTCTAGAGCTTTAAAGCAATATTCATATGGCAGGTTAATGTACACATTTCCACAGGATCAAAGAATCTTTGAGGAATGGAAAACAGAATCTCATCAACCAATTATTTCATAAGAAACCCAGCTTTGCCTGAGTCACTCGCTGATTGACAATAGGATCGCCATATAGCATTAACATAGAAGGACCCCTTAAGCATGAATCTGGCAAGAGATTCTCATCCCAATGTATAAATGCATTGTCCAAAGAATCCAAACTATATCTTAAGTTCAGTGGTAACCTGAGACCTTGGAGTTCTACCGGTCGCATTAATCTTTGATAATCTAGAATGAGGTGCAAGTACATAAATTTTCTTGAAATCCAGTCTTGCGCTTCAGTTAAAAAGATTATCATGACTAACCTGTACTCCCCCAACAAGAAGGTCTAGTGAAGGATTCATGACCAAATTCTCTATGGTTGCTCCATGAGCAGTAGCAACTAACTGAATCCCACGTTCTGCTATTGTGCTTGCAGCCATCGCTTCAAGTTTAGTTCCAATCTCATCTATCACAATCACTTGAGGCATGTGATTTTCAACAGCTTCTATCAGTACCTGGGGAAAAGGAAATCGGGATACAGTGATACACACCATCTGTCTCGTGTAAATTTCCAACCACATCACTTAACAAAAATTGTATTGCTACCAAGTTTTGACCCTTTCCAACAAAAGCATTGCACATTGAACTCGATTCCTAGTAGAAAAGGAAATTATCTTTATGCTGCTGAAAGGCTGGAAGCAGGAAAATTACGTTGAGATAAACAAAAATGCAAAAATGATAAATGAAGCATCCCACTAGCAAGAAAGAAAACAAAGAGTTCATTGCCATACCTTGTGTTGCATTTCAGAGTCAGGGACTTGCATCCGCCTTGCATCACCAATCCCTGGATGAGGTATATCACCATCACCGCCTATCTCGTTGGAGGTGTCAACAATCATTACACGTTTCTTGTAATCATTTGCCAGCATCCGAGCTACCTCCCTGAAAAAAATATCGATGGCTTCATTTCAAAAGCTTGTGCCAGGCGAGGGATCAAATTCTTGGTTATGATATAAAAGAAATGTTGAAAATCCATGAACAGGGCTTACGTCATAGGACCTCGATTTCCAGAAAACAGAGTAGGCAGCATTTACAAAGAGCTTGTAAACAATATTACTCATATCCTCCACATAAACTTCCAGAGCCACCCGAAAAGAACACAAACCTGATCATTGTAGTTTTTCCAACACCCGGGGGACCGATCAGCAGCAAAGAGTTCCCATCTTGGACTAAATCTCGCAGCAAATTGGCACTTCCCCTAACAGCCCTTCCAACACGGCAAGTTAAGCCAACAATCTCTCCCTTTCTGTTCCTTATGGCACTAATCCTATGCAATGTCCGGCTTATTCCTGCCCTATTATCATTAGTAAACTCACCAACCTGCATAGATAAGTAAGGAATTACAAATGTATCGTCAAACACAAATGGAACCTATTACAACCCAGAATATAACCTAACATAACCCATCAATCAAACACCAAATCTCGTTAACATGGCTTAAGTAAACATCAACCTGCATAGATGGCTCAACTAAACAACTATAAGAGTAATACAAATCTAGTTGACAATGTCAGGAAAAGAAATTTCACTCACCAACCTGAGAGACAGCGAATTGAAGATCCTGAACCCTAACAGCGTCGTCGGAGATGACAAAATCGCCCGACGGAAACCGAGCAAGGGGATTACGACCTAAATCCAAAACCACCTCAATCAGTTCACTTATTTCCAGGTGATCTTCCAGTTTCCGCCGCATCTTTTCCGGAACCAGCGACAAAAGACGGCGTAATTCCTGGCCGAAACCGTCTCCGTTCTCCGCTGCTACGACGGCGGAGGCGGCTGCAGAAGAAGAGACAACAACTCCATGCGGCGACGAGGAAGAATGGGAAACGAGAAGCAGCTTGGTGCCGAGAAGACATGATCGGAGTCTGAGCTTGATGAAGGCCTGTTCATGGTGAAAGAGCGATAATGGAGGATTAAGTGATAAGCAGTGCATCGCCTTCGGCCACTATTACCGTTGGAATTAATTTCAAGATTATATCGAACTGGAGCGGACGCGCAATCCAAGTGGACGAATCAAAACACGCCACGTCATCAGAATACCAAATGAGTGCTGGATATTCGAAAGAAGACCGAATCTATTAAGGGATCTACTGCTTTATACTGGATTCTCATGTTCCGTACGTTTTATTGGATTTTGCTAATATAGTGAACGAAAATAATTACAATTACTACAATAATATATTTTTAAATTTCGGAGAGAGTTTTTGACAACGATTTTCTAAACTGTTAAACTAGGTTTTATTCCTCTAATTTGTGTTTTAAGAAAAAGATGATAGAGAAAACCTTTGATGAAATTTAGATATGATCGTATTATTTATACGCGACTATTACCCTTTTTTCTGATATTAAAGGAAACAAGTAAAATTAATAGGAAAAAAATGTATAAATTATCGGATGTATCATTATTCAATATAAAATGTATAATATTTATAAATATGAAATACAATCGCATACTATTTTATTTAATTAATATAAATATCTAAATATAAAATTAAAATAAAATATAATATTACCATAACACTATAAATATTGTTTGTATTTACTTTTATTTTGTCTCAATTTAAACTCTATATTTATTTTTATTCCTAAAAAACTCTATATAATTAGATTCTTTCCAACAAATTTGTATACTTTCTATATTATAGAAATTTAAATCATATACTCATTTTTTGTCCTAAAAAAACTCTGTACAATTAGATTATTTCTGAAAAATTCTGGTATTTTGCATATATAGACCAAAATAACACCATCATAAAAATCGACAAATACATAATATATCGCAAAAACTAATACTGCGTATAATAAAAACGATTGTCATTGACACGTTGCATATTATAGACATCTTAAATCATATACTTATTCTCCAAAAAATATTATCTCCAAAAAAATTTCCAAAAAATTCATATACTTTGTATAGTATGACCATTTAAATCATATGCTTATTTTTTGTCCTAAAAAATCTCTACAATTAAATTCTCTCTAAAAGTACTTAATATATTTAGACCAAAATAACACCGTCAAAATTTATTTTTTTGACAAATGGACATAAATAAATCATATGTGGTAAAAAAAATAATCTTATGTATTAAAATTTTTGGTTTAATTTTCATCATATGTGGCAAAAAATATTCTTATATACATATATGGCAAAAAATAATCTTATAACGACCACATATAAGGTTATCGTAGATCAGTTTTCCATATATAGAAGTAGATATTTTGATATTAAACTATTTGTTTTATTAATTTAACCTAAATTGGTTCAGATTAAATAGATTGGAATAATTATCCAACGTGTCGATGACAATCGTTTTTATTATACTTAGAATTAGTTTTTGTGACATATTATGTATGGTCAATCGTTGATTTTTGTGATAGTGTTATTTTGGTTTGTATATACAAAGTACGAGAATTTTTCAGAGAGAATCAAAATATACAGGGTTTTTTAGGACAAAAAATGAATATAGAATTTAAATTGCCATTATATACAAAGTATAGGAATTTTTTGGAGAGAATCTAATTGTATTTGGTTTTTTATGATGAAAAATAAATATATGATTTAAATTGAGACAAAATAAAAGTATAGTATTTTTTGTCAATTTTTCTTGATTTTATTAAGTAATTATGATTTGAAAGTCTTGTGAGTTTGTATTTAAGTTTCTAACTTGACGCCTTAAATGTGAAATGAATTTTCCCACGCCTAGATATGGAAATCTAATGAAAAATAAACATAAAGATTTAATATACCTAATACAATACATATATATACACAATATATCCATGGAATTTATTAACTTCCCAAAATACAATCACATTAAACCCTACTAGAGAGCAGTCTATAAATTATCAAGTTCATAGACGAACCATACATAAATCATCGCCACCACCATCATCATCCGTAGACCTAAAGCAAAACTCATATCCAAAACTACTGAAACATGTTCGGACCAAGATTCGTTTCCGTTTCCGTTGCGGCTGTGGCTGCGGCCATAGTTCCCGTGGCCATAACGACGATGTTGTTGATGGGCGGCGACATGATTCAGGCAAGACGGCAGGCTACATACGTTGTCGGAGGCGACGATGGTTGGGACTTGGCCATTCCTATGTACACTTGGCCACAAGGCAAAACCTTCTATGCAGGCGACATTCTTGGTACGTATTATTAATATTGATAACCAAAAGGTTTAAATATATGATATAATAATTTTATTTCCACAAAATTTCTAATTCATACAATTAAAATGAACTAAATATAAAAAAAATAACATTTAAACTCTTGAACTATGTTAATTTTTTGTAACAATGTGTGAGTATGTTTTGTTGCAGTGTTCAAGTACGATCCTCAAGACAGCAACGTGATGGTCGTAAACAGAACCGCATACGAGACGTGTAGGCCGAACGATGGAGCGAGAGAGTTCGATTCGGGCAACGACAGGATCCAATTGAATTACGGCTACAACTATTTCATCGGCACTTACAACGAATACGACTGCGGCGCCGGTCTGAAAATGGCCATCAGGGCATTGGCCTCGCCTTCCGATTCTCCTAATTAAACCGACATTGTTATTGTCCCAACACATTTTCTCAAAAAAGGGATTAATAAGTGGCAATGCCTTTCGCTACATATTTTCAAAAGCTTTGATTACATCTTGGCTTCAATCCTATTGATGTTATGAATAAAAATGGCAATTTCATAAATGTTTCCTTCATTTTTAACTAAAATTTAGTATGCAGAATGCCCAAGATTCGATATTATATAACAACTTCATGAATTCATTACACCAAAAAAAAAAAAAAAAAAAAATTGGTCGGATGGAGATGGAGCCATTGGATCTACTGGGTCGGACCGCTCACCGGCGGTGGCCTTGCAGGGCTTATACATGAATACATGACCATCCCGGCCGAGCCTCTCCACCACAGTTCACATCATCAGCCCTGGGCTCCGGAAGATTACTAAGCCAACGACCACGACTTCAACTCTTGTCTGAACAGTGAATACTTCCCGCCATTGATGTCTCTAGGTTCGTGTAATTGAGTTTATCTGCTTCTTGTACGCACACTTACGGTGATGAAAGAATAAGACTCTGAAACTGCTAACGTGAAGTGGTCATTACCAAACAAATGATAAATGGGTAACTCAAATGAACTGTACATGTACCGACAGTACCGATTTCTAATCAGTTTTTGGTCGTATCCCTAAATCTGGAACCTTTTCGGTGTTCATCACTGAGGTCCTCTCATCTTCTCGACGATGTGCCTGCTCTTTTCTTCTATGTGCCGTCTCTTCTCTTCCAGCTTCTCCCCCATCTTCTTGCCGAGATCGAGCATCCTCGCTCGTCTTCCAACCTTCTTCAACCTCGATTCATCCTCCTCGCTCGACCTAGACGGCGATGGATGACTCGAGATTTCCCCCATACTCTCTCGTCCTTTCGTTGTCTCGTCCTTCTCGCCGCTGCTTCCGAGTAACGGAGTCTTCAGTTCATCCAAGGATCTGTCGTCACGTATAACCATAGCAGTAGAATCCGATGATGCCGCTTCTGCGACATTCGCGACCTTCTGCGTTTGCTCGGCTTGAAGATTCGGGGAAGCTCCCGATGCTGATGCTGCCGCCTTGTTAAATTCGGCTTTGAGTTTCATCTCCGCAGCTTCGAAGCTATCACGATCACTTCCGGTTTCTTGATTCAGCCACATGAAAGGAGCGACTTTGCGATCGACCCAGTCGTCCTTTTCGGCTAACATCCATGGAATGGCTACGTTCTCGCAGTTCGGAAGTACCATAGATTCCCGTATAGCTGCCTGCAGAATGAAAACATGTTCCGGCAAAAAAAAAATATGCACAAGTCCTTCCTTCTGGTTCTTGATACCAAAAAAAGCATGATCCAAAGAGAGGAAAAACGATAAGCTTTACCTTGAATCGGCTGATCAAGAACAAGGCGACATGGCTGCTGGTGATCTTGTGTTCCCCGACAGAAGAAGCGAGATCGAATTGTATGTCGGGCATGCTTGTGAAACCAAGCCATAACTGGTCTGAAGGAGGCGGCTTTATATGTACCCGCAACGTTCCTCGAAGCGAGGAAACCCTAATTGACAACGAGATAGGAACCTGGGAAACTTGATCAGCGATGTTCTTAAGGATAGATTTCCACCTAGAGACATTATTCGGAGCTGCTTTCGAACCCTTTGAGCCTTTGGATTCTCCGTCTGTACTGACAAATGAAATTGTCAAAATGTCGAATCATTTATATGAATGCATGACACAGTTATTTCTGTATCGTCGTAACAAAAGAACAATGTCTAAATTATTGCAACTGACCTGATTTGGTGTCACCGACCTTCAGCTCTTGCGCAACGACAGTTTCTACGGGGATACCTAACTCCTTTTCGAAATCTTCGAGACCCTCGAGGAGGATTTCCGGGGAGACATCCTCTACAGATCCCTGCATTCCCTTCTGCAGTTCCATGTCACGGGCTTCGACACGTGTCTCGACATCAAGAACTGCTCCACCGCAGTATTCGACATCAAGCTCAAACGCCCACACCTGATTCATCTCCATCGGAAGAACCCTTACACCGTGTATATAAGGCGGGAGATTTCCCGTGTCTACGCCGCAGCAGATTATTTCCCCCACGTAGCTCGGAGTCCTCATGTTGGATAAAGTCCGCTGTTTAAACAACACAATTACATATGGAATGGAAGAATCAAAACAAATTCTATCGAGAAAACTTTAAGATTCATTCATCTGTCCTTTCGGATAGGAATCAGACCTGAATCCGTGATTGCAATGAGTTCTTCAACCCGGAATAATGCTTGCCATCGAAAAATAGCCTCGCGATTAGCAAATTCCATGCCAATGTTCCCTCATCGGCATAAAACTTGTCTTCGGAATCAACCTCAGAAACACCAGAAATATGACTGCTATGGCTTCCAGAACGTGAGAAGATCGGCACATCAGTTTCCTCTGCCGTATTATCCGGTGTCTTCTTTGTGGGTATACTCTTTCCCGAACCGGAACCAGATTGATAATCTTGATTAGGACGGACAGAGGCCTTTCGATCTTCGCGGCTTGACGGGTTCGGCAAATTTGTCTTATTTGAGTACTTCCTTTGAAATTTCTTCAAGAAAAGACGGACCTTTGATGAAGAACCATCGGTCTTATTCCCCTTGTCCAATGATTCAACACTGAACCCGACTGATGGTTTCATAAACGAAGGATATGCAGCATTGAGTGAATTCAGGTAATCACGGAACTCGTTTTTCAATTTGCCGAACCAAACAAGCCTTTCCTGATCCTCGCAAGCAGCAAGACGAAGGGCTTTACACCATGCCTCCTTCTCCCATGAAGTCTCGAGATAGATACAGAACATCTGGCTTCCCTTGTATAAGGCTGAAGTCTTACTTTCAACTTTTATAGGAAATTTTTTAGCCCTGCAAATCAAGAAAAAAAAAAAAAAACTGGTAAAGCATATGAATGCAAACTCACCATGGCAGAGCATGAACTGTACATATAAAACTTCATTCTAAGATCTGAATCCATCAGCATAACATTAGCAAGATAAACCTGAAGAATCATTCAAGCCGATTTTCGAAGGGATGCAGTACCATTTTCGGGACTGGAGCCCAGTCGCTGAAACGGCCTCGACAGAGCAGCCTTTCAAAGGAACAGTAGTCTGAGAGCCGTCAGCATCTGACAAGATAAGCTTGTGCTCCTTGATACGGGCAAATCTTCGAACAGGATGTACTTCTACAAAGTCTTTCCTTCTCTTTTGCTCTTTCGGTAACTTGTCATTCGTCCACTTCTTCAAACTTTCATCGAACTCCAAAACCCAGATCGCTCCCTGGGATCAATTTAGACGTTTAAGAAGCATGAAACTAAAGAACACACCATCCATGGCAGAGTATTCGACGGAGAGCGAGAGATTCAAACTGCCACAAAGACGAATGGAAATCAAAGATCATGTTCTTGCTCCACAATATCCTTCTACCTCCGACTAGAATGCGAACTCGGGACAGTTTTTACCCTAAATCATATGCACCACTAATTTAGCTATCTACTTCAGTTCACGGGTTTGAACGCAAGAACCGCAAAATTGGGCACGAGCACATTCTGAAAAAGTAGACCCAGAATTTGATTTCCACATTATCGTCTACATCACAAGAGATTCTGTCTCTCTCTCTCTCTCTCTCTCACTGTCAAAGTTTCATGAAGAAACTGAACCGTCAAACTCAAAGATGTTGAAAAGATCAATCACCTGTTTGTTCAGACAGAAATCGACGGACTGGCGAGGATCGAGATCCTTGAAAGATTGACCGGGATCGAGATTTGATTCCGACAGATCTTTTCTCCGACTCAATCGCCTCACCAGATAAACGAGGCCCGCCGCTTCCGCCGCCACGATCGCGAGAATCCCCAGCACAAACCCGGACACGAAAACGAAACCCATCAACGAAAACATCACCGAGAGCCCCAAAGTCGCTCGATTTCTTCTGGCTTAGGACGAAATGGTGAAAGGGTTTCGTGGGAAAGAATCAAGAAGAGGAATAGACGCGTGGCGTTGTTGTTCATGTCACTGTGGAATCAGATGAAAAGAGAGGCGAGAGACCGGTAAGATTTAGCAACCCAACTTTTCCAACCGTAATTTTTTTTTTTCAATTCTCGAAAGAATCGATTTTTATTTTATGATTTGCGGAGAAACAAATGTCCTCAAGAAAAGAATCAGAATTTCTATCACGCTCTGTTCATCCTCCCTCCATTTGTTGATTATTTTATTGAAAATGCGAAAATAATTTGCTTTTATTTTTCGAAAAACTATATTATTATCCATTTGTTGCTAATAATTTCAATGGAATACCAACATCATATACGTACATATATATCATTTTATGCAGTAATACCAACATGATAATAACTATTATTATTTGGCAGATTTAGTTTCTATATTTATAATAAAAAATATTTTAAGGTCCAGCTATATTGGACCATGGAAAACATACCATATGCTTTGATTTGTTATTAGGCAATTCCATAATTTATATCAATAATAAAAAAAGAAACAGCCATATGCTTTTTTTCTATTCTTGTGAAAAGATATATGGTGGGAACAAAATATATCAAAGCATATTACAATAATATATGGTTCGGTTTCTACAAATTTAGTGTAAGGATTGAGTTTATAATTGTATTCAATCTGTAACAACAAAATTGGCCGCTTATTATTTTAATGTAATTAATGGAGCCAGACCAACTATAATCAAATGGTAACATTAATTTTTTTTTCAAAGTTGAATTTTAAGTTAATGCGAATATTTCAGTTCTGATTGGGGTTCGGTAGATTAGATTCGATTTTCTTCGCATTTAATTCAAGATCTTTGGCTTAGATTTTTTCCCAGATTTGAGATTGATGTTTACTGATAAAAACAATGAGTTTTCAAATAACATTTCGGTTTTATTTATTTATTTTCTTCTATTAACTTGTTTCGGATAGGATTATGTGTATAAGTTGGACCCATGGTAACAAACAGATTTACAAAACAAAAAAACTGTAGATATCCAGAGAACTAACTACAAAGCAGATCCAGCAGAAAAAAAAAACAAAAGTCCAAAAAAAAAAAACTCCATTTACATTGTCTCACCTTCCATGGATTCAAAGCTCAGAGGAAGGAAAGCTCGGAAATGGCGGTTGCTACCTAAAACAACACAACACGAGCCACAGAGACATAAGAACGACAAAATCCAACGATACCAAACACAGATTGATCATCTCCATCCCCATCTTCTGCAACTACATTGTCGAGTTAACCGCAAAGAAGCTATAGTCATGGTGATGAACGTTCAACTGTTTCAGCCACGAATCCGCTGCCCTCTGCAGGTAAACCAACCGTTCCTGGTCGTACGTTCCCGGTTTCGCCCAGAGATCTCCTTGCATTTTATACGTCGCTATCCCGAACGGCGCGAGCGGAATTCTCTTGCACGTCGCCGCAGCCCCCGCTTCTTCTTCATCGAGACAACAACACGTTCCTTCCTCTGTCTTCTTGTCGTCCTCTGCTTCGACCAGATCGTCTGCTTAGTTTCCGACACCATGGAACGATGCCAAAACCCGTCAATGATCATGCCCCTCGGGTTATCGTTATCACAGTTTTATACATTGTGTAGGGAGTAGGCAAAGGTACCTTGGAAAGACGAGGATAACGTGTGATAGCTTAGAAACCGCGTCGCCAAGTCTTTCTCGTTCTTCCGGGAGGGAATTTGGTATATCGGGTACCTATTCATGGCGAGATCGTGAGGATTTTATCGGTATTAGAGATACACACGAAGATCGGTGAAACGAGCTTATGTTACCACGCAACCGCCATCCAACTTGCAGGAGACAAATCAATGCTCCTAAGCGACATAAGTCCCGGGTTCTTTTCTGCCAACTGGTTTATCTGAAACCGAAAAGGTATGCTTTAAAAAGTCGGATTCGCGTAGATGAGGAGATCGAGACAAGAATGATCATTAGCAATGAAAGACAACCTTATCCGAAAGAGGAACCCGAAGATAAGGAACAACTGTCTCGAAATACTCAAAGTCGAGGTAGCCGAGCCTATCTTGCACAAGAGCTGTCGTATCCTGAACCTGATCAAAGCTCGAATCTTCGGAAATCCCGTCCCAAGTCTTGCACAAATCGTTGCTCAGCGACCCCGAAAGCTTTTCACTCTCACTATCATCGCTCCAACACTCGCTCTCGGATTCAACCACTTCGCTATGGTTCCTGCACCATAGAAAAACCAACCCGACTTCTTGTCACTACTTTAAAAACTCAATGCCCCCGCCTCCAGAGACCGGTCTTTACCCAAAGCTAACCCGAAACATAAGCCTCGATATTACTTACAGCTCTGAATTCAGGCAGAATTACACGAAACCCGAGCTATCAACAGATTCTGACTAACCAGAAACTAGAATGGTAAAACCGGTGAAGATATTTTGAAACTAGAATGATCATCACTACATCAAGAACACAGATGCCCCGACCTGTAGAGACTAATCCTTAGCCAAACCTTACCCGAAACACGAACCTAAACACTACTTCCAGCTCCGAATTCAGACAGAGATACACGAAACTCGAGCTATCAACCAATTCTCACTGAACCCGAAACTAGAATGATCATAACTACATCAAGAACTCTCCATACTCAGACGGAAATACATGAAACGCGAGCCATTCACCACGCGACCGAAACTAGAAAGATCTAAAACACAGATGAAGAGGTTCATTGTCGAAACCTGGAGACGGAGGAGGGCTTGTTAGTGAAGATCTGAATGGCGGACAGGTAAGGTACGTAGTACTGAGTCACGCTTTCGTCGTCGTCTAACTCGACGTGAGTGCCGAGTCCATACGCGCTCAACTCGTCGAAACAGTCCCAGAGATCACCGAGCCTGAAATACTCCATCTCCTCTTTGCCCGGCCGAGGATTCCACATCCTGTTCACTTCCCCCGCCCTGCTCTGCTCCATCCAATTCCATCATTAACACTTAATCACGCATATAATTGTATTTAATTGCTCTGTTTAATCATACCAATCTAACCGGTATCCAAACCGACCGATCTCATCACTAACCGAACCGGATAACATGGTTCAATTTTTTGAAACCGAACCAAACATAAAAATAACCCGTAATATCCAAATATTATTTGAAAATAAGTAATTTTATTAATAAATCCCAAAACGGAACCAAAAATATCAATATAAACCGACCCAAAACCGAAATGATCATCTCATCCCGTAAATGGACGGTGTTAAATAAATCCGAAAAGGAAGGGTATGTGGTGTGACATTTAGGAGAATATACCGAGCATCTAAAATTATTCACCAAATTTACCTGCAACAATATATTATATATCATTGGAAATTTTAAATATATATATATACATATATATTTTATTTATAAACTAATGGTGTCGCACGTATTCTTCCACGTGGTGGAAAACTAATCTTTTAAAGGCTTTAAAGCGACATGAACATTTAATTTAAAAAAATTTCGTTTTTTTTTGTCATGAGCCATGCAATTATTGTCCTTATCATCACATTTTTTCCATTGATTTATATCTTGTCGAATTAAACAATGGTGTGTCATGGGAGATCTATGGTTATAATGATTGAAAACATAAAATCGGGGGAAGAAATCTGGAATTAATTACAAAAAAATTAATGGGAGAGGGTTTCGCAAAATCCCAACCTTGTAGGATTTTCAGGGCGGAGAAAAAGAAAAACAAACACCTGTTTGGCAGAAAAGAAAGGAAAGGAAAAGAAAAGAAAAGAAAAGAAAATTTACCGGCGGCAGAGTCAAAGAGGGAGGCCTTGGAGTGATTCCTCGGAGAAATCTCTCCAGATTCGATCGACCCTTCGTTGACGACCACCACCACATTATAATCTTCGATCTCTCTCTCTCTCTCTCTCTCTCTCTCTCTCTCAGAAGAAGAGAGGATCCTTGGCTCTCTCTCTATATATGTATATATGTAAGTATATATGGGGAGAAGTGAAATTTCAGGCCAAAAGAAGACTCTTGTGCATATCTGAACGATATTCAGCAGTCCATAAAAAGAGAGATAAATGTTTGCGGGAAAGGAAATTCAGTGATTTATGGTTTTCTGATGCCAAAATGACAAAATCTACAACATCGATTCCCAATAAGGAAGTCCTTTATTTCCCAATGTGGTATCTTTCCTTCTTCTTCAGATTCTCATCAATCTCTCTCTTATTCTCACAAAAGACGAGGACGAAAAAACACGAAACCCAGAAGAAAGGAAGAACAAGAGACAGCAGCTGAGTTATGTTCTGTTCTGCTCTTTTTTTTTTGGATTTTCGTTTTAAAAAACAAAACTTTCGCTGAGAAAAATGAGTTTCCGAATCTGGGTTTCGAGATTTCAGAATGAAGTTCTGATCTTTTTTTTTTTTTCTGGTAAAACTTTTTGTAGAATGAAAAAGAAAAAGGAGAGAAAGTTGCAGAAGAGATGAATCCCACCTTTAGAGTGAGATTTGCTTGTCTGAAACTATCAATGGCAGTAGAAGAAACGCCTCTCTCTCTCTCTCTCTCTCTCTCTCTCTCTCTCTCTCTCTCCCCACAGATCGTTAATTGAAGAGGAAATTAATTTCTTCAATTCTAAAACCCACCCTCAAATATCTCCACCATGAAACCGAAGACTTTCATTGTCTCTTTCTTTTATATATAAAAAAACGTATATTAATAATAAAAAAATCAATGTACTGATTGTGGTATGTATGTATGTATGTATGTATGTATGTATGTATGTATGTATGTATGTATGTATGTATGTATGTATGTATGTATGTATGTATGTATGTATGTATGTATGTATGTATGTATGTATGTATGTATGTATGTATGTATGTATGTATGTAAAAGATGTGGACATCGTAGAGTAAGAAAATGTCACACCATATATTAATAATAAATCGGTGTACTAAGTGAAGGAAATGTCCAAAGTGGATAGACTAGAAATTTAGACGTTTTAGAGTAAGAAAATTACTACTAAATCAAGGTATTATTCTTATAAATATATGGCCAATTTTTTTTTTAATAATTATGACTTTTTCATTCTTTATATTGAATATATCCGCAATCTCTTCTAAAAAAAGGAGGATTTAATGTGATAGAAAGAAAGAAATATTTAAAAAGGCAATCCCAATCGCTGAAAATTTGAACTGTATATTCCTTTTGTGCGCTATATATTTCTTGTTAATAATACCATATTTAAATATCAAAATAATCTCGGGTGTGTGAATATTTATTTTCGATAAAACGAAGCGAGCTACTACAGAATCTCATTGAGTTTCTACTTAATGTAATTTAAAATGATCAAATTATAATGATTAAAAACACTAGTAATTTTATTTTTCTTCTTCTTCAATTAAAGTTTTATTATTATATCTATGTTGAAGAACGATTATCATATCTATAAAATAATATTCATATTCATATTAAACAACATAAACGATGATTATATTCCGGAAACATAATTAATCTATTGTAAAAGTCAAACCCCATATTTTTATAAATGTTTTTAAAGTGTTAAAATTTGATTGTCAAAAATAATTTATTAAAATCGTAAACCAGAGCTAATGAATATGCTGCGGTATCACGGTGTATATATTTTATATATATACACAGAGAGGATCATGGTTTTATTTTCTTTATATTTGGAGATTGGTTGATAAGTTGAGAATTCCAATAAACTGATTCTAAAAACACCTTATTTGACTAAAATTAGGATTTTTAAAACATTTTAAAAAATTAAATATCTAAATCATATTTTTTTGGGAATCTTGTATTTGTAATTTTGTTGGGGTATGGCCATGTGAGTATATATAAATTGGGAAAAAGCGGTAATAATATATAACTCAAGAACGAAAAGAAAATTTCCCTAAAAGATTCTCAGTTTTTAATTAATATTATATTAATACATGTCGTCAACTTTAATTTACTTTGAACATTATAATGTACCACATATATTAAATATAAATATAAATTCTAAAAATTCTAATAGATTAATACATAATCATTAATACCTATGACAGGTCATTGAATTTCATCACCAAAATTTGAAGTGACCAAGTGATAATACAATAAAGAATTTTAATTTTTTTTTCATTCGGCTGTTGAATCTCACACAATCTATTCTTTGAGTGCAACCATGTCTCCAACGTTGGAGTCACTTCACGGAGAATTGCTGGCCTAGAATACCACGAAACACATCGGAGATGGTGGAGTGGTTCAATAGCATGCCTAACGACATAATCGGGGGAAGGAATACCATTGTCAAACTATTACTTCAGATCTCAGTGTATAAAATCTGGAAGAAAAGAAACTATAGGATCTTCCAAAGCACTGCCCTCACGATCCTATATCTGCAACGGAAAATCGATCGTGATATGCATACCGTCTTCCTATCTAATAAGTGCACTACCTCACTCGTACTCGAGATCGACATAGATATTACATCTCTTTTGTCAGACGATTACACTGTTTAATTGTCTCAACTATATTTTGACCATTTACTTATAGATTACTTTTGTACATAGTCATGGACTGCTCGTAACGTTTTGCTAAAGTAATACACACCACTTTCATAAAAATATATACATATATATATATATTGGTGTATGCTGTGTCAGAGATAGCGTTTGCGTTGCGTTTTGGTGAAGAGTGATTTAGAGTTGTGTGGGTGCAAAGGGCTTTCGCGTCGCCGCGTGTTGGTTAAAGCAGCGTCGATCTCTCGCGTTCTGCGACTTTTTTTTGTTACGTTCCCCCTTCCTTTTTATAATATGTGGGCCCATGGGATTTGAAATTTTTGTTACGTTCCTTACTCTCTTTTTTTTTTTACTTCAATTTTTTTTTATTTACTTCTAATTTTTTAATTCTCTTACAATATAAAAAATAATAATGCCCAAGACAAAAACACAAAAGAGTTTTGATTTTCTTCAAATTTAAACACGTTTCAGTAAAAGAAAGAGAATGTAATTTTACATCAAACTAACAGTTAATTTATACGGATTTTTATTTGTATTTTTGTTGAAATTATACTACATTAATTTTTTAAAATTTCCCTAAATACGACTAAAAGATTAATCTATACATTTGGTTAATTAAAACACAGCACATAGATAACACAACCGTTAATTACATGAAACTATACCAAGATTCCACCAAAAACTATGTAGATAATTTTAAAATAATCGTTTATTACACACACAAAAAAAATGAATAAGAAAACATCTACACAAAGTATAGTTTTCTCTCATCGAAACGAAATTATACTTTTTTGGATTTAATTTTTTGTATTTTGTTATATATATCATTAATGATTATTAATAGCCAAGAGAATTTATCAGTTTAATATTAATATAGAATATAAAACTTTAATAATTGTTTAAGGCATCCACGTGAGGAAAGTAGTTATATGGGATTTTGTCACGTGTCTCTTCTCTTTGTCGTTATTGGACCACAATCGGTACGAGTAAATAAACGCACGCCAAATGAAATCCTCGAATCAATTCATATTGTTGTGATATTGATTTAAATAATTAAAATATGCCACGGACCAAATGCACTTTTTTTAAATCAAATAACAGTATTGACAATAATTACTCCTTGATGTGGTTAGCCTTTTTAAATTTTATTTTATATTGTATTAGTCAAGTATCATGCTGTATATTCCACGGTTTTTAATCGTGATAATATTTTTGTACCAAGAAGATAAAGGCCTAAATTAGATTATTTCGAAAACAAAAACATTAAGAAAATATAAATATTGGAAGGACCCTTTTATTATTGTGGTTTTCTGAAAAAAGTCATAAAGTGTATTTTAACTTTATAAAAAGCAAATTTTCGGACGTGAATTTCGTTTTAATTATTTGAAACAAATAAAATATTTATTTTAAAGTTTTTAACTTTATTTTAAGAGACAAATAACATATCACGAAATTAGTGTATACATTTGAAGTTTTTAATATATTTGTTTCATTGTTTCCGGATTAATTATTTTCGGATAATAAAATATTTATTTTAAATTTAGTTTTAGTTCGATTTCAAAATATTTTTACGTTCTTTTATTCAATTTTAAATTCCATTTAAAAAAAATGATATTGAACATAGTTTAGTATTTTATTTCGTGTTATTCAATTCAGTCTACTTTGATATTAAATATCTAAAGATCACAAATCCGCATATAAAAATTTTATTGGAGGATTACAACTGGAAAAAGATTTTTTAAAATAAAAAGCGAAGATAATATAAGACAAGAAAAAGGAGATATACAAGGGAATAATATGGACACGAATATGAAAGCCTCTCAAAATAATTTAAGAAACATGGGCTATACTTTTGGGCTACTTCATTGGGCCATTCTAACCTTATTGGGCCAATAAGTTAGTCCACTAATTTCAATTCTTTAAACCATTCTATTATCGTTTATTCATATTTTTTTTTTCTAATTGTCCTGTGTTATCGACTTGTTCACTTCGTCTGTTATTGTCATTATAAATATTTCGAAGTTAATTATTATCTTCTTTTTTTTGGGTAAAGAAGTTAATAATATATCATCAAACCAAAACAAATCTTATCATTATTATCTTTGATAGTTTAATTTAAAAAACCCAAATCGCCAAAATGATATTATTGCTCTTTATATTATATTTATTCACAAGGGTTTAGTATACGTATAAGATAAGATACGTGAGATTTAAATTTGTTTTTTTTAACGTTTCAAATCATTTTCCTCTGCGAGAAGCAAAAGGGATTATATATATTCAGAAGATATTTAAAAACGACGACAAGCACACATGCTAATATATATATATATATCTTTCCCTTTGATTATTTATCACGTTTCGAAATAAATATCTCTTTGACAAAATATACAATACATCTCTTCATTTTATATTTGCATGGCAACATACAAAAAATTGGAAGATAGTATTTATAAATTAATTTCAAATAGATATAAATTCATATCTATAATAAAATCTATGCGAATTACGCAGTAAATATGCTCTTTACTCTTATAATTACAAATATGTGCACAAGGTTGAGAAATTGCATTTTTTTTAATAAAATAAACAACCTAAGGGATGGGGTTCATGAAATTCATATAAGTGTCATTTGGTCACTCGTGGATCCGATGAAGATTTCATAGAATGTTGGCTTCAAACCCGCAAGAGATTTGGAGGTGTTTGACTAAATCAAATTTATCAAAGAAACAAAAAAATAAAAAAAAAAAAGGATTATAAAAAGGTTGGATTTGGGTCGGACCAAGGGTAGTAAATGCACCCAACTATCGACCACCATAACGCATTTAATGTAAAGCAGCATTTAAGAAACTTAACAACTTGGAAAAAAAATCACAACATCATTTCAATTTTTGGACCGACCCACCTTCTAATATTGTTCATTCTTTTCATCTCCCCAACCATATCTCTCTCTCCGGCTCCGTGTCATATCCATTTCATTTCATTTCTCCATTAGATTTCTTGGTGGAAGCAAATTTGTTTAGAAAATCTTTCATTTTTTTAGTTTATTTTCCAGGAAAAAAAAAAGGAAAATAAAAGGGGAACAAGTGGTTGTTCTGTTTCGGACATTGAAGTTCATGAGAAAACAAACGAGTTTGTGTTTTCATGCAAAATGTTCATGACTTGACACAAGGCTCCACTTTCATGGGTTTCTCTTACTTAATCTGACCCGAAGATTTCTCTGCTTCTCACTCTTCAAACTTCAAAGTTCACACCTTTTATATTTGCTCGACAAACCCTTTTTCTCCGGTCTCCAATTTTTTTTTGTCCTACAAAAAAATCCTCTTTTTTTTTGGGGGTGTTTGATACGATGGAGATAGAGCCAACCAGGCCAGTTCCCGCCACGGCGGCTCCCA